ATGATTATTGCCAAGCATATTCACACGTGTTAAGGTAGGCGCATTTCAATTGACGCCCACAATATTGTAAATAAAATAAACATATACACTTTCTCCATTTCACAAATATTGCAATAATTACCATTTTTAGAAAGTTTCACAAATATTACAATATTTCCTTATTTGCACATGTTTTCCCTCCTTCTCTCTCCTCATCGATCACATGGGTCCATATATTTATTCCTCATTATCTCTCTCCCGTTCTTAAAATCCGTGTCCCCTACCCAAGTTGTAATATTAGGAGAACAAGGGAAGTATGAAAATTACATATTTGAAAACTAACAATCAAGATGAATTTAACAACATCCCACATGGCCAATTTTTGAAGTATGAGAAATTATTAAATTGTTTGATTTCATTTGTCATGCATGAGAATCTTAAAAATTTAAATGAGACAAACATGAAAATTAAATGGGGAATGTATGTATTATTATCCAACAAAAAGCATATACATTGTCTATGTACATGTACATTTTTTTAAAGGTTAGGAGAAGATTCTGAATCAAATCTGAACCCTTGTGGTTTTTTGGTCCGATGTAGGTCAAATACTTTGAAGTATGGGGAGAGGTAAGAAGAAATTCACCTCCAAGTACCCCCACTCTGTAAGATTTAGTAACTAAGATAAGGCTCTTACCAAATAATTAAGTCTAGCCTTTCTTAGTGCGTGTAGGGTGTAAATGTATATGGTGCTAGGTTCCTAAGGTTTTGAAGTGATGACAAGAATCTAAATTGATTGATGTGTTCTATTTAGTTGTTTATCTGTGCATTATTAAGTCATTCTGATTATTGAAGTGTCATCCCACTATATAAAGGTCAAGAAAGAAGTAGGTACTTTATCTGTGCATTAATAAGTCATTAAGGGTAGTCTTGCAAATCACTTTTAATATGGTTTTAAGCTCTTTATAAATACTTTTTCATGAGCAAATTTTTAATTGCCCAAAGGTGTTTTTCCAAAGAGGTAAATTTCCTTCTCTCTCTCTCTCTTTTCCTCATATTTTTTCAATTCCCCCTCCCCTTATATCATGGTGGCCGGCAACTACCACCATGCCAAGCACCACCACCACTACACCTGGCAACAACAACGGTGGCCGACTGGCAGGATTTGTCGGTTTGCCTCCCATCTGCCTTTCTCCCTACTTGATTGATTTATGGATTGGTTTGACCACATGTAAGAATGTTGCATTAAATAGGATGAATCATGTTAGTGTTTTCTTAAGCGTTTATGTACTCGGCTTTGCTGATGTGTGCTTTGTTTGTGTTTGTAAGCTTTGGCCCTGTGATCAGGATCGTTTATGAGATTTCGGAGACCCAAGGACGAAAGAATAAATCGAGGACCTATTGTATGTAGTTTTTTTTTTTTTGTTAATATTGAAGATGATTTTTTTTTAATATTTTAATATGAATAAATAATCATTTTTTTTATGGTAGGTGGTGAAAAACAATTTTTAGAATCTTTTTTGGTAGTAAAATAAAATTTTGAGAAGTTTTGGTGGTTAAAAACAATTTCGTGATTTTTTTTTTTTTTTTTTGTTCAAAAGTCAAATTTTCCATTAATTAATCGTAAAGTGGGGGATTTTAAAGGAAAGGAATTTCTAAGATGCTATACCGGCCAGTGATCAGGACTAGCTGATGTTCAAAACACTACCGGATCAATAGGCACAACAAAAAGTGTGCTAAGTCGAACGTGTCTCATTAGATGGTGGACATTTGGTTCTCCAAAATCAAAGGATATTATTATTATTATTATTATTATTATTATTATTAATATATTTTTTTTTACAACAGCAAAATCCTATCTATTACAGACTACAAACGATCAACAAAACACTAAAATGAGCTAAACTAGCTCTTACAAACCAACATAAACAATAGCAAATACTTAAAAACATCTTGTTTGTAGGAACTCGGTTGCTTGAAATCATAACCACGGTTCTTGGATCGCACTTCTTAATAGTCGTCACAAGAACTAGCACAGCAGTTGAGATAAGGACGGAGTAATTTTTGTTGTTGAAGAGCAAACCACCTATAGGCAAAATACTTGGTAAAAAGAAAGTGTCAAGGTCACACTAGGTGAGAATAGTCACAACTTGTGACTTAGTACCATAACTAGGTACTACTTTTTGTCCCTTCTCAAGAAGAGGGACAACAAATGACATGCTATGAACCCCCAAACTTTGTATCTGGGGAGCCGCCTTCAAGGCAATGATCAGAGAAATCATTGCAAATTTTAAATGAGAATTAGACAAAGTCAATTCTCCAAATAACTTCTGACCAATGAAATCGGAAGTGAACACGAACAAAGACCACAAAACCTCAACCACCTCTTTACCGAAAACTACAACCAACAACCTAGAACCAACAAAGGCATTAAAATACCTTATAATCCTTTTGGCGAAGACTAACACAAACCATAGCTCCCACAACAATACTCCTTTATCCTTTAGAAAACCAACTACCAAAAGAAACCTCCAAACAAGGCATGACCATTCCACCTTAAAGTGAGAAAAGCACAACGGGTCTACTTCAACCAACCCATAAAGACACCAAACTTCCAAATAAAGTATTACTAACAAGGAAAATACAACTAGCAAAGAAGAACAACAAAACCTAGAAAAGAAACTCCCACATCACAAGAGGAGTAGTTACAAAGCTTAAACCAAAGAGAAAGTTAAGATAAACGAACTAGAGGAGCAGCCCAACGACCATTACCCAAAGCAAAGACCCCCAAAACCCTAACCTTAACTCCACCGATTCCGTCACAAAACACTCTTAACGGCGGCGTTAGGCCTAGCCATCCAACGTAAGGAACCCAAAACCCTAACCCTTACCCTAACTTCACCGTTTCTGTCACGATCAAAACCACCAATGACCACTAACAGCGGCGTTAGGCCTAGCCCTTTGTCTTTGTTTCGCCGGTGGAAACCTTTCTTTGACACGAACTTGTGGATCAAAAGCACTCCCCCTTCTTCTTAATCGGAATAAAAACCTACAAACACACCTTTAAAACAAATCTAAGAAGAAATTAAACTCTTAGAAATGGAAGGCTAGAGGCCAAAGATTTGTTTGTGAGAGAAGAAGCAAAAATAAAGGAGAAAAACAGAGAAGAAATGAAAGAGGAGACTCGCCGGAGTACGATTGCGGCGCCGGAACTTCAGTGAGTTCCTAGGGTTACTGGTTGTTGGGGCAAGAGAGAGAAGAGAGAAAAGGTTATAGAGATCTCAAAATTTTAGGAGTACAAAGAAATGTTAATAACTTCCTTATGTTTTATTATTATTAAAGAACATATTCGATGGCTAAGAGATTGCGTTTGTGATATTTAGGAGATGAATTATTATACGTATAATATCTTGAGAAACCATTATGCTTCTATTCATACTAGGGCGGCTATCGCTCAAGCTAGTCATGTCAAGAATTTCTTTTGGTTTGGCGTTGTTAGTAGTGTTAATTAGGAAATGTGAACAAATATTTTTAAGGGTATAAATGTCCACATGCTATTTTTAAGTATTAAAAAAATAATTAATATTAATGAAGGAAAATATGTAAATAAACATTTTAGGGACATAATCATTTCAATTCTATTTATAAAGTGTGGTCATACTTTTAAAAGGGGTAAATACGTAAATAAACATTTTTAGGGGCATAATAGTCTCAACACTATTTATAAGAGTTTACTCATACTTTTAAAAAGGTAGGGATAAATAGAATAATATGCAAGATATTTTTCAATGTGTGCATTTATCCCTACCTTATAAAAAGTTTAAAACTCTTATGAATATTGCATGGACATTTATATCCCTAAAACTCTTATGAATAGTGCATGGACATTTATATCCCTAAAAATATTCTTTTAGATATTTACCCCCATTTGATTTCAAAAGCCTTTTTAAAGTTATAATTGTCTCTTGAATTCCCTAAATTGATTTGAAAAGTTATGTTTATTTCTATATTTAAATTGGGCCTGTTCACATATCGGATATCCGATTCGAAATGTGATTTCGGATCGGATATCAGAAATTTTCTAAGCAGGTGTGGAGTCAAATTAAACTGATATCCTAATCCGATCCGAAAATTTCGGATATTCGATATTCGAATATCCAAAATTTTCGAATCGGATGCTTCGGGTATCCATTATCCAATATTAAGTAAAATTGATTATGATTACTTTTTAAATTTCACTAATTTTATCGTTTTTTTATAGTTAAGTTGTACAACATATTTTAACAAAATAGTAGAGTTTTTACAATAAAAATTATCATCAAATATATTAAGAATATTATAATCAGTTAATAAAACAGGATCAGTTTTATATGAACAATTTAAAGATTTTATATATATTTCACTATTTCAGCCTTTATATTTCAGATATCGGATATCCGAAATTTTGAAAATCAATATCCAAATCCGCATCCGATATCCGTTTTTTTCGGATCGAATATTAGATCCGAAATGAAAACTCGGATCGGATATCCAAAAATTCGAATCAGTTGCGAATCGGATTTTCGGATAGTTTTATACGGGCCTAATTTAAATCCATCTTTTACTCTTCTCTTTTTTTTCTTTTTTTTTTTTTTTTGTTTTATTAGACATTTATATTTCTACATCGAATTCAATATCTTTTTACCGTTTAATCACTAAATCAAAGTAGCTCAACTAAAATTCAAAACATTACACAACTACACAATATCTAACACATTTATAGCCTATATGCAAATAGCTTTAATAAAATATTACACAAACAAGCATAAGGCATAAAGAACATTGGTAATAATTCTTCTCAAAGAGCTGTGCTATACCGCACGCATCGCACGCATCGCGCGCGTTGAAATCCCTAGTATTTTCTGAAGAGCATTTTTTTCTTGTGATATGATCTCACTAGGTTATTAGGAAATAACTCATCCAAACAGGCTATTTAACACAACATTTGAGACTAAGCTTTTTCCATGTAGAAAGAAAGACTAATCTTCTTGAAATGCTCCAAAACTTCTCGGAAATAACTCAACGATTTTACACACCATTGGTGCACACTGTATATAGTATTTTGCCGACTTGAATCTAGATCCACACTGTATATAGATGTACAAGAATCGAACATGTTATGGAAATTGAAAGGAGAAGCCAAACCAGCTTATAACCAGTCCAAAGCTTGAACCTAAAGAACGTGAATTATCATTATTGTAATTTGATAAAAACGAGTACATATTCCATAACAACAGGATTCGCATAAATTTCTGTTTCCAGAGGTCCATTGCAATAGAGTTTCCAAGTGAAATGTCTCTTCATATGCAATTAGTCTGCAATAAATTGTGACTTATGAGTGGTCTCCAATAAGCTTTTAAGATAAGGGTCATCTTTGTATTTTGAGTAAATGGGAAGCTCAAGTGCGCTCTCTGCTATTCTCCGGTCCTCGTAAATCTTTGCTACAAGACTTTCCAAAGAAGGAAAATTGGCCTGTAAAATTCGAAGTCAAAAAACATCCAGATCATGGTATACATTATAGGATGGAAAGAGGATATTGGAAGTTTACAAATAACAGAATACCTCGGGTCGAATATAACCAACAACAACAAGGCGTAATTCTTCTCCATAAAAGTCGTCCTCAAACTCATGAAGCAGCCAAGGTTCCTTCAAAAAAATGAAAAAAGTTGTTAAAGATAAATCTTATGTAGTAGAAATAAAGCAAAATTTTCATGTTCAACTTACTATTGTCTTCTCTGGATTGTTGAAGTACGGATTCCAGCCAATGCTCATTACCATCTTGTAAATTCCTCGTTTGGAAACTCCCGCCCAACCAAAGTATACACCAGATGGATATTCAGAGAGAAGATTTAAAAAGCTCTCTGTGGACAAATTAGCTACAGAAGATAGAAGAAATGATCAGAACATATGATCTGATATTTTCAAAGGAATATGAACACAGGGCATGACATGCCAGAATAACAAATCTATTTTAGTTAAATAATTCTCATGTTTAATTATAATTAATTAATTAATTCTTCTCACACATTACTTTTTGTTCATACAGTCATATGATGAAACAGTTAATCAGAGCTGCTAAAAGAAAGTAACCACATAAATTAAGATAAATGACGTGAAATCATAAATATGGCTCACAAATCCCCAAATTAATTGTTTCAATATCCTCCTTGGCCTCCCTTTACTAGTTTCAGGTTAAAAATCACATGAATTATCCAATCCCTTGTTACTCTGATAAAAATTGCGGATTTATCTAACATATTATACAAGAGTCGAGCTAGGATGCCAAATACATTATGATGGACCTATAATGGTTACAATAGAGATATATATATATATATATATATATATATATATATATATATATATATATATATTGCAAAAATTTTATCTAACAAGGAAAATACAAATATATTAAAAACACACCTGTGGGGATTCCAAGAACCTTTGACCCACGGCCAAAACCCTTAATAACAGGACCACCAATGTGCCAAGGTTCTATAGGAAGGGTTTCTTCAATCCCTGGACAAATTCAGTGAAAATTTCAGACATATGATGCAAAGTAGGGTTCCATCTCTCATATAGTCATAGAATTTTAATTCATGGAAATTTACAATCTTCAAATGGAGGTAAGCTCCATTGCTCAGGACGTAAATCAAAAAGAGAATTAATGACTTTGTCCGCCATTGTGTAGAGATGTGATTGTTTAGGCAGTGATGGTACAGCAATCACTTCCATTCCAGCAGCCTTGCCCGCAGTAACACCAGGCCTAAATCAGCCAGGAAAAAAAAAAAAAAAAAAAAACCGATTATTCCAAGTGTCAAGTATGATACATACAACATTGAATACAAAGCCAAGTAAAAACAATCACCCAAGAAAATAGGGGAATCCCATTGAATATCAATGCTGAAAAAAAATGTTCAAGTTGGTTTACGAAGGTTAAAATTAGGTTTCACACACCTTTTTGCAAAAATCATGAACCTCTTTGCAGAACCAATTTGGGTGTCTGTAAGACTCAAGGCTAATGCCAGACTTAGAAAAAGAAAGCATGCAGAGAAAGAAGGGGAAACTTGTGATAACTGTGTACACTAGTAGCAAGGTTATAGAGTGTTCCACATGAGTAATAATTAAAAATTCAGAGATATCTACTGAGAAAATCAAGATAAGGATTGAAATATCAATGTACTAAATAGCAAAATATGTCAAAGATCACCATATAAAGAAGTTGAAATCAAAATGAGGATTGAAATATCCATGTAGTAACTAGCAAAATATGTCAAATATCTATTTACAAGTTGCTGATGCTTTTGAGAATGAAACATCCACTTATATCTACAGAACTAAATTGTAAATTAACTTGCAAAGAATGCAATAGACAGCCACTCTTAAACATCCAGACACCCAAAGTCACAACAAGCTACATTATTTTAGAAATTAAACACAGATCATTAAATCATTATAGTCTACAACTCTACATCTCGAGATGTTCCCTGATAATTATAACACTACCTCAACCTTTTTGTCTCTTAAGTCCAAAAGTAATTTCGGACTTTTGAAGCGCTATTTGCTAAAATAAACTTTAAGTTGAGCATCTCAGACAACCTTTACTAGATACTTTTGAAGGAGTCATAGGATACTTACAAAGAATCTTCAATTACAAGGCAACTGGAAAGTTGGACGTTGAGCCTATTGGCTGCTTCGAGGAACCTTTTCACATGAAAATATGCAGCAAGCACATTAGACAAATGCATTGCTTAACTAGATCAAACACAAGATACTGTCTAGTTCCTCTTCTTTTACCAAAACCACAACAATCCTAACATGAATGCAAAAGAATTACTCCCTTCATTTATGATGCAAGAGGAAAAAGAAGAGAAATAATATTATATATTTACATGTAATAAATAATCTATCTATACAATCCTTACTCACAAATCAGGAGATGGCTTCCCAGACTTTACTTCATCTCCACCAATTACTACGGAAAATGATTCTTTCCAGCCTACCAAATGACATATGAGTAAGAATATGGTGATGAATGGAGAAGTAAAAATATCAAAGTTCAAGGAAAGAGAAAAGCTCTAATACGTACCCTGATTATAAGATAGTTTCTTCTCTATGAAAGGTCTGGGAGAGTTTGAAGCCAAGGCCATCGGTATTCCATGGCCATGCAAATGATTAATTAACCGGTTGGCGCCTGGAAGAGGTTTGATGTTGCTCAAACTACAGTCAAATTGCAATAACATGTTCAAGCACTCACAAATGTAAACTTATTTAGGGATTGCAGAGTTTCAGACGGATATGCTTAATCTACCCAAAAAATCAACGACTTTGCTTTTTCAAATGTATTCAAGTGGCAAGTGCACACACTCTGCTCCATGTAAAAAGGAACGAAATAACTGAGTAAACAATTAAGTACACGACCACAGAACAATCAAAATCCCAATTTCTGAAGAATGTGAAGGTTGAAATAGAACAGGTTTCAGCTCTGAATTGAACAAATTTTACCATGTTTGGCCTCATCCTAAATCGAAATTGCCTAATATGCCAACCGTCATCAGGGTGGTTGAAAAAAAGAAACAAACATTCAGACAGAAGAGGAAAAACCATTCAACAAGAACATAAACAAAAGTTAGATCATGAACTCCATACATAAATATGAAAAATGACAAAGTGGAGCCAAAAATTATCTAAAAAAACTCAGTCATTGACATGAGATCAATAATCATTTGAATGGTAGAAAACACAAAAATTAAACTTAAGAACTCGTGAATAAATACCAAGAAGCTAACAAAATAAGAAATGTACATGCTTTAGATATAACTTAATACTTGCAATGATAACACACAAAGAACAAATAAACACAAAAGTATGGAAAATTGGAAACATCAAAATCTTGAATATTGATCCTTGTATATATTGAAGAAGAGAACCAAGTAAAAGTTTCATTACTGATCAGAGAACATTGGGGTGAATGCTTTTACGAATTCCTCTGCAGTGCAAGGTAGTTCATAAGCTTCAACAACAGCAGAAGATGCTTCCGAAGGGGTTTTTCCAACTATCCTATGAGCCTCTCTCCCATCCCACTGCTTTCCATACTTAACCAAGAAACTCTTCAGGACATCAGTTACTAATTGATCTGCCATAGAATTGATAAATTATCATTAGCACCTAGCAGTTTTCAAAAGGCATGATGGATATTAATACAATAGAGGTCCTAGAGCCCAGGCATAAGATGTCTTCGTTAATGAAAAAGGCTTAAGCTGATTTTTCAAGAGCAACTGATACTGAATAGTATTTCTCTTATTCCACGTAATTTAATTGATGAACAACCAAAACAATCCCACATTCCCACCAATAGCAATGCAAAGTATCTCCAATTCAGCTCTCCAATCTTTCTTTTCCATTCTCTCTCCTCGTGATACTCCCTAAGTCAAAACAATAAAAATAAATAAACTAATAGCCCAACAATGCAAATCTCTATATTGGTTTCAGATATTTCTCCTACTTTTTTGTGGTCACTGTTATTTGAAGAACCTAAGCACACTCAAGATAAAGAGGCTTTAATTCAAGTCTTGCAACTTGCAAATTGTTAGAAAAACATAGAAGAAATACTCTTCCATGAATCTTTAACTACAACACCACCCGCGGGGGAGAGGTCCACAATTTTCATGGATATGAAGCCAAGAGTCTCCTAGTATCTTGTTTAATGCAAATCTTCTCCAAATTGCTTAAATGTGAGCTTTAGCCAACAATCTCCTAAACACTACAATAGCAGCAGCAAGAAAGCAACTTTAAAATGGGTTATCCTCACCACCCTATAATGCATGAGCAATCACCCGTGTTTCCCTACATTGTTACAAAAGCAAATCCAAAAAGAGCACATAATATTCCATTAGTCTATGGTAGTAAACAAATGTATGCTTCAGCACCAAGCTTCAAAAGCATAACATAATTTATACCACTCAAATATATCATGAAACTTAATTTTCCCCTTCTATATCCGAATATGACATTTTTGGGGGATCATAAAATATTTTTTCCTCCTAAAGAACTCCCATGTTAATCACATACTATTAGTTGCATGAGCACAAAAGCATATTAATCTCACTCAAAATGTTCATACAAATTCATAAAAAAGATCAAAGCTAGCAAACCCTCAAATAACAAACAGACACTAAACACCTATGGAAAGCACACCTGTATTAAGAAGTGTGCCATCCAAATCAAGGATCACAGAAGAAACTGTTTTCTTAACAGGATTAGCTATTGACATCTTGCCGATCATGAGAAGCTTGTAAAGCTTTTAATTCTGCATGAGAAAACATAAGCATTCACTTTCTCAATTATAAGAATTAACCATTGTCTACATATCAGTATTAAAATATCAACGCAAACAAATAGACAATTACATATAGATGCACTCCAAAATATAATAAAAGGGAAGGAAATGAATAATGAAACTCCATATCAGTACTAAACCCATCAAAGCCAACAACTGAAGGCATAATAGTAGCTAGCAGTTGGCATCTATGAGTAATCAAGTACGACGTGTAGAGACAAACTTCCTAATTTACCACATTGGTTTCTAGTTTCTCAGCAGTCGACCCCATCCTTTACAGAATAAGGCTTTGGTATCGTTATTGTTGTACCACAAAACATTTGAATTTGAAATTAGAAGTACAAACCATATGTTGTTCACAATTTTCAACTACGGTATTCATAGTTACATACTATGCAAGACACAAAAATGGTATCCATCTTCAAATTACAATAATATATTTGCCTCATTTCACTTAAACTTATTTGAATTTCTCTGAACTTTTTTTGACCTTATTATAACTTATTTTAGTTATTCATTGAACTTGAGTAACCCTTACAAAAATCTTACCAAAGCTTATCTCAACTTCTAAACTTATTAATCCTTATCCAGGCCCGTCCCTGAGGAAGGGCAGGAGGGGCGGCAGCCCTGGGCCCAGGGAAAAGAGCTCTGATTTCATAGTTGAATCCTAACATTAAAGTATTGTGCAATACATTAGCAACCAAATTTGATTCAATTATCTCATAATTTTAGGGATATTTGATTCAATTATCTCATAATTTTAGGGATATTTGATTCAATTATCTCATAATTTTTGGGATATTTGATATGATGATAACAAATACAAACAACTTACCTCAGAAGCTGCTTCAATGGGGGATACAAGAACTAGATTCAACGGAGAACGGCAACTTCGCTTCAATGGAGAACGTTGAATGCGCTTCAATAGAGCAATTCAATGGGTCGGATGCCTTTGATCCCTATTAAAAGCCGTGAACCATGACTGCCACAGTTATTAATGGGTTAGATCCGTCTAATAAATAAATGGACTGAGTCTTTATACGATCGTCCAATTATAGGGTGGAACAGACCTTTTAAGGGTTTAGTGTAAACCTGTTTTAATAAGTACGGAGTATTAGTTTATCTTTAGACTTCCATTTCTCAAATATTATCTTCACATACCAAAGCTTGTATAATTTGTTTGTAAGTTTTTTTAACTTTTTTTTTTAAATCTTGAAAACGGCTGAAATTATATTAATTAAACTGAGTTTACAACAAACGAAAGGAAAGTAGGGTAACATAAGTCAACAAGTTATCATGTCTTAAATGTGGTTAGGATGAGTTTTCCTCAAAAAAATATGTCTTAAATTAATTGTCATGTGAAGTGTGAACTATGCAATTGTATAGGTAGTATTACCTTTGCAGTTTTAACATCAGCTGACGATCACCTACATTTTATTCTAAATGCAGTTGCATACTAGCAAGTGTAGAATTGTATGAGTTAGTTAATTGTATGAGTTGGTTAGTGATCTGTGTAAAACAGAAAATTATTAGTGAATAACTTTAGAAGTGACAACTTTAATACTTTTTTTTTGGAAAAAAAACCCATCTAGATCAACCGAAGAAATTTCCAAAATGTGAGGAGGGATTACATCACTCCACACCCATTGGCCAAACTCCCATGGTTGAAAGTAAATCAATTTGTGAGCTACATTATTACCCCCTCGCTTTACAAAAGATCATGAATCACTAGTAAAATTAGAAGAAAAAAAAATCTAGAATATCCTTTATAATCAGATGAAAGGAACTGGAGCCATACAAACGCTTCCTCATTGCCTCAATCACCACCAAATTATCACTCTCGATCCCAATGCAACTCAATACCCTTGTGTCTCACAATATCCATGCCCCAAAATATCGCTTTCACCTCTGCAATCTTAGTCTCTCATTTTTCACTCGACTACACCGTAGCTCTCCAAAGCACCACCCTCTCACTATTCCTGCAGACTGCACTTTACCCCGTCCCCACCTTCCCCAAAACACCAGCATCAACAATAATTTTAACCACACCAAATGCTAGAGGAGACCCGCCTACAGAGACACTCTTTCCACCCCTCCATGCCCCATGTTATTCAACTTTCCCACCTCATGCCCCTTCGTATTAATCTTCAAAGCATAGGTAACAATTTGCTCAACATTCGGATTTTCACCCTCACTCATTCATTTGTTCCTTGCGCCCCACATAGCCCAACACATAGTAATTAAACTTACCATATCCTCTCCAAAATTACCAAAACAGTGCTACCACTAGTCACCCATACTACAAAGAGAGTGAGACAAAACCATAGAATAATTGCACTTACTCCAAATTGCTCGGGCTAAACTGCAATCTTTTAACGCATGCATGAAAGATTCTTCTTCTCTATGGAAAACACCACAAGCTAGTAGCTAGGCACAAACTAGCTACAAAAAAATTAGCTTTAAATTCTTATGTAGCCTAAAAAGCTAATTTGCTAATTAGCTTACCATTGGAGTTGTTCTAATACTCCATCTGTTCCTTTTATTAGATACATTTTGACTTTACACCCTAGTGTCCGAACCAGTTTAGCGAACACCCACCCAAGCCCTAACTCTAACTCTCGAACCCCACTTATTTAGCGAACTCCCACCCAAACCCCAACCCTTACTCTCAAACCACACTTATGCGGTGAACTCCCACCTAGCCTCAACCTACCCGATCGATCGAACCCACACAACTCCCACCCACCCTAGCCGGCACAAACCTATGACCACCCAACCCTCCAAACCAAACCCGACACCCCAATCTTTTAAAAAAATTATTTATTATAATTAAAATTAAAAATATTTTTTTCTATTTAAATTAATATTAAGCTATATTTTGTTTTTAATTAAGTCAATTCTTATTTAATTGAGAGTTAATTATAGTATAAGTCAATTGATGACTTGTTTGACCGGTCACAAGTCAGATCTAGTACTTAAATTATTTATGGAATATAGACATCAATGTTAGACTTATTTTTTAATTTATTAAAGTTGACTTAATATTGGAAGATCACCTAAAGTTTGACTTATTGTGGTTATTTTTTTCAATATTTTATTATATTAGACTTTCCTTTTACTAATCATTTGTATATGCATTTCTATTTTACACAAATATTTTCCATACGAGAATGACAAAAAAAGAAAAAAAAGAATGGTGCATTATCACACCAAGAATCAACACAAATTTTTTTAGTGTGTCATTAGTTATATAGTTATTGAAATATATATTTATGGATAATTGATTGGTTATTATTTATTGATGATTACTAGTTATTTATTTAAGTAAATATAAAAATATGATATTTAATTATATTTTTTTTCTAACGAATAAATCACAAAAGAAGGTTAAAAGAGAAGTGTGAATGAAAATGTCCAAATGGTGCAATAAAAGAAAGGGAGAAAGTATTTAACAAATTATATAAAGTTATTTACGAATTAACAAATTACAGAACTATTTAAAAATTATATAAATAAATGATTATTTTAACTATCATTTTGCCCTGGGCTTCCAAAACGTCAAAAACGGCTCTGTCCTTATCTAAACTTATTTTTCTCGAAATTAGTCGAACTAAATTAGGCCTAAACATTTAAAATATCTAAGAAAAAATTTAACATTAACCCATTTTGAATAAGTAATATTCATATACATTCAACTCAACATCGATAAAGATATAAAATCAAACAATCTCATAAAACCTACAATTCTTTCACAACCCAAATTAGTCACTCTATTAAAGATGAGTCTCTTCTAATTATGTTTTGCAAATCATAGCTCTATGTTCAAACTACAATTCCTAAAGCAATACAATCAAGTGACAATTAAAAAAAAAATAAAAAAATAAACTTTCAATTCAATAATAATAATGAGTAATAATTCTAGTAAAAATTGAAAGGCATATGAAGAATTTTACAAATATATACCAGTTCCAATGAAAATTTCCAAATTCAATCTCAATTAAGTTTGGCAGATTATAGAATAATTTGTAGTACTCAAAATTCAATGCCAAAGTGACAAAAACCCATCAGCAATCTCAACAAAATTTGATCAAATAACAAAGAATTTAAGCTAGTAATCAAATCAATTGGTCGCAAAAATGTGAGATGTTGACTGAGAGATGATGATTTTGCCACCATGCCTAGAACACTGCAGTAGTTCGCCCGTCGCTACGGTACTTTTTAGTTGGGACTTGGGAGGAACTCGTAGGAAAAGAAAAAAAAAAGGAAAAATATGAAACTTGTATTTCTTTCAAGGGAGATTTTTTAAACCGTAACTAGTTTGTGGCTCGGGCAATGCCCCGAGTTTTGTTTAAATACAAAAATGAAAAAATTATCTTAACTTTGAATAATTGAAAACATTATCTTAAGTTTAAAATTAATTCAAAAAATGGAAAAATATATATGGGAATTGAAAGAGAGATGTAGTAGTATACATGTAAATATTATTCTGTGCAATTGCTTAATTGATATTTAATCTAGAAAATTACTCGTACCATCATGGAATCAACAACCATTAGCATGTGATTAATTTCTTACAAATTAATTTGTAGTTTATTATTTTACAATAATTACTTAAAAATTACATTTTAGAGAAAAATTAAATATGAAAGTTACACATATGAAAAGTTTTAGAGTGATGACACATATAAGGTGACACATACCGATGATGTGGCGCCAAATCATATTGATGCAGCAGTGACACATTGGCGTTGTCATGTTGTCCCTTTGTGTTTTAATAATATTATAGATGTTGATTTATCTAGAGTTGTCAATTCGGGTAAATGGGTTGGGTTTGGGTTGGGTTAGTGTGGGTCAGGTCAATTCAAGTAATGCTGTAACTTACACGGTTCGGGTTGGGTCATGATTAAGTCGGGCCACATCGGGTCATACATCTTATCGGGTTTGGGTCGGGTTTAGGTCGGGTTACATTCAGGTCGGGTGAATAATAGTTCGGGTTTAATTCGGGTTTTAACGGGATAAAACGAGTTATGGTCGTTCTCGGGTTCGAGTCGGGTTCGGTTCAAATCAATAATTTGCGGATTATAATCAGATCGGGTCATTTTCATGTCGGGTCATATTTGGGTTCGGTTCTCAAATATTGGGTTAATCTAGGTAATAATCAGTAACTATGCACGCCGTATAAGTGCTATTCATGGTAACAACTATCTACTACAAAATACATGTGAAACGAGGACGTTTACTAATTAATCCTTTGTATGCCCAGTTATTTAATTACAAATTAATTCTTCGTATGCTCGAATTATAGTTGGATTCACTTGGAAGTTGGTTAACTATTCAAATTGCTACTGGCTTGTAGATTTTTTAATGCACAAAGCCAATAAAATGTAAGGCATTAGCCTAAGTTATTATTTGCTCAAATTATTATTTAGCTAGTAAAAATGATTCGATCCTGATTCTTGGGTATAATTGATTTATTGCTCAAGTTATTATCTCATCCAAATCGAGCAAGGTCAAAATGATTAGAAAAAAATTAAAGAAATAGTCGAGCAAATTAAGGGAGAGCAAATAATATTCTAAGTTATTATTAGAATTAGACCCAAAAAGACTACATCTATGGCTATAATTGATTTTAGACTGATAATAGACAAGCTTATACTGTTATGCCAATATAATCTGGCTCTTAATGAAAGATTGAGGGAAAATTTTCCTTGCTTATCATTAAGAGAATAACCGCATATATAATTATCAAGCTAATTATCTCCTTTGATTATATAACAATATGTACAACAATATACTATGGAACTATAGCCTATAATTTAGGAAGCGAATAATTATCTCCTTTGACCATACAACAAATATATACTATATTTTAACACTTAAATATATACTATATACAAGTGACACACACAATATTTAGGGTAAAAACACCCTAGACACGTGGACCAATCAGGTCGTGACACATGTCACCTTAGGAGGCGCCCAAC